TGGCGGGTTCTTCTCCTTGGAGAGACGCTCGAAGGTTTCAATGGCCTCCTTGAGACCATCTGCGGCTTCCTGGACGTCCTGGAGGGTCTTCTGGGTAGGTTGAAGACCGTAAGCGAGAGAGGCGATCTGGTTCTGGACGAAAGCGACGTTGAACTGCAAGTGAAGTTGCTCGGGAGAGACGGCGCGGGCACGCTGAGCGTAGTCCAGTGCTGTCTTCATGGCTGCCAAGTTCGCTTCTTGCTTGCCTCGTAGCCACCATACACGGCCGAGACAGGCCAAGATTTGCACATCGCGGGCACGATCCTTGGCTAAAGCAGCCTCGTAGTGCTCAATTGACCGCGAGAACTGTCTAAGCTCCGCAAACACATGGCCCAGGTTGAGGTAGACGCTGGGGTCTTTGATTGTGTCGCGGATCTTGGACAAGATTTGCACAGCAGCACTGTGGTCTTTCTTGTCGTCGATGAGAGCGATTGCAATACCTTGAGCAGCGTACGCATTCTTGGGGTCCAACTGCAGCGCCTTGTCGAAGAATTCAACCGCACGCTGGTAGATCTTGCGGCGCTTCTCCTTCTCCTGGTCAGTGCCGCGGCGCATGTCACGAGCGGCAACGAGATGCACATTGCCCATTCCGGTCAACGCATACCGGTCATGCTTGTCGTAATACTGCAGCGTGTGCTTGAAGTGACGTTGCTCGCCATCTTCAGCAATGTTGGCAACTCGCTTCTTTGATTTGCTGAGGTACCATCCAAACAGTGCACGAACTTCCACGTCTGTATTTTCAGCTTCGTAAAGCTGGGCGATCTTCTTGGGGCCCTCTTCTGTGGGGCTTTCACGCAGAGCGATATAAGTCAGGCGCGCGCTGGCCTCCGTGTAATCACTGTGACGCTCCAAAACACCTTCGTAGATCTTCTTGGCTTCGTCCCACATATCAGCTGACTCGTATGTTCGTCCCAGGTTGTAGCTGATTGTTGTGATGAGCGCGTCGGTGTCAGTGCCATCTTCTTTGCCCTCGGATTGCACACAAGCGTTCAGCGCGGACTGGAACATGCCACGAGCCAATGCTATTTTCTCGTTCTGGTACAGGAAACAGCCCATGTTGTTGAGAAGCTGGGGCGGCAGACTCTCTCTGAGAGCAGCATTCATTGAGTCCTCATCTTCGATGCCCTCCGGCCGAGCGTCTTCGGGAATGCTAGCAATTTGGATCTGCTCCAGTTGGGTCAGGCACTGCATGCTCTTATCTGGAGCCGTGCTCTCATAGAGACGAGAAAGGTAGACTAAAACGGACTCATCAGGCGAAAGCTTTTGCTTCTCATCCTTCCACATGGAGCGCACAGATTCCAAGAGAGTGGTGGCCCGCTTGATCTCAGTCGATTTGTCTTCCTTGCTACCGGATTTCTGAGCGGCGAAGACCTCTTCCGCATGAATTGCACCTAGAAGAATCATCGCCTCCGGGTTCTTCGATTGCTGGACAATCTTCTCCAGTCGGAACTTGGCACCATCGAAGTCCTTGTTCGAAATCTGCATCTGCACAGCGCCGAACTTGGCAGGAAGGTAGCCCTTGTCACCTCCACCACGGGCCTGGTCGGAACGGTTGTAGAACTCGGCAGCACGGGTAGCATCGCCTTCGTAGTGTGACTTGCGGCCAAGGAGGTACCAACCGTCACTTGCAATAGGCATGACATCTGTATGTTCAATTGCCTTGCGTGCCAATGTCTCGACAGTCGGGTATTGTTTGCGCAGGAGGAAGTAACTGGCGAACAAGGAGCAGGTCATCGGGTATTCCTTGTCCAATTTGAATGCCTTTTGGGTGTATTGAGTCATGGCTACCTTGTATAATGAGCCAAACATAGGGTCGGTGGTGGCTCGGCGGGAGCTGTCGTAGAGGTAATATTCTGCGAGGAGGATGTTGGCAACCTTAGACTCGGGGTTCTGCATAGCAATTTGTCAGTTACTGTATATTAATCCAAGGCTGACAGTCGCAAGCTTACCAGAGACAGTGATCTCTCCCAAGCTATCTTGGCTTGATCCTTGAAGCCAAGTTGCCACAAGCAGCATCCAATACCAATACGTGGGTCTGGGTCTGTGAGGTTAGGCATCTTAACCAGAGCCTTCTGGTATCCTTCGAGTGCTTCCGCGTATCTTCCCAGCATGTAATGAGCCCGAGCACGTCCCATGACAGCCATGATGTTCCGGCCACCGAAGGCCTTGGATGACTCCTCGAAGCATTTCAGAGCCTGGCGCAGGGATTCGACTCGTTCGGAGGTATCGATGGCGCCCGGTCGAACAGCACGGGGAGGGTATAGCGATGCGCGGAGGAGACAGAGGACGCCACGCGCCAGGAAGAGAGGTGGATAAGCCGGGTTCAGACGCGATGCCTCGTTCAACGTTGAAGTCGCCAGTTGGAGGTAGTGATCCTTCGTCTTTGCTTCTGAATACAGTTCTCCATCTGGTGCGACTCGCGGAGCATATCGGCTCTTCAGCATGAGGAGCCAGCAGACCCAGCCCAGCAGGCCGAGTTTCTCCTTTGTTGCTCCGTGGGCTACAGAGGCTAGACCCTTGTTCAAGATATCGATAGCATGATCGAACTGCTTTCGCTTCGCATAAGCGAGCGCAATTATCACCCAGAAGTTTTTGGCCGCTTTTTCATTTTCCAGAAGGGTGCAAAGCTCGGTCGGGTCGTCGGGGAGCTCAAGCAAGCTGACTTCGACTTCACTGTCGAAACTGGATGCGGGAATATCGATGGCATCGGGGATATCGGAAAAGCGAATGTTGCTCAGGGGGCTCGCGGAGGAAATGGGGTCTCCGTTCAGGCCATTGGAATGGCCATTTTCGAGAGGCGCCATCTTGGAGGCGTTGGGAGGGATGAGGCCACTTTGCGAATGAATGTAGAATCGTTGGAGCTCAACTCATGATCAGGTGAAGCGGTCCATCAAAATAAGGTCAAATTTGGGTCGAACGAGGTTAGCGACCCCTAAGTCGGAGAAAACGCGAAAGTGAGGCTCGGAGGTTAACAGCGCGGCGATGGAGAAGTTGAGAATTGAATCGGAGTGGCTGGCCCGCACCGCCACATCAGCCACATTTGAACAATAAATGCCATCTTCAATAGCAACAACAAAAGGGACAATATAAATGAATATGATTATAGATAAGACCTAATAGAAGTGTCCTTTACTGATTCTAGGGGGATATCTAGGTACGGCAAGTCCAAAATGTCCAACTCACAGCCAGCTGGTGATGAATTTGCAAATGAGACCAAGACTGAGGAGAACCGCAAAGATCAAACCAAGCTCGATCCAATGGTGCAGACGAACGTAGGACTCTACATAGCCAGCCGATGCAGCAACTGCCTGTCCATCTACTGCGTTATCGGCCTTGATCGAATCAGCCAATTCGGTTGGGAAACGACCAGTTTCGAAGTACTGATCCATGAGTTCATCCTTCTCGGCCCAACGTTGTGTCAGCCAGGCCTCAAAGTCTTTCTGGTCATCGAGAGGGATCTTGGAAACAGCGAGACGTCTCCAATGCATGTTGACCGAGGTTGGCGGTCGTCCTTGGAGGAATGTGGAGCGGAGTGTGAAGTATTTATCGGGGTAGCTTCCTTTACTACAAGCAACCAACTGTGAGTAATAGTGGGGAGAAGAGTAGAGAAAGGAACATACGGTGGCCCTTCATAGGCGATGGTGCAATCATACACCCAATCTACGGTTCCTCGTAATTGCTGGAGACAGAAGAACAGCCCCGTAGAACGCGGAAGAATCTGATGCTTGAAGGACGGCAGATCCATTTTCTTTCCAAATGCGTCACTGCGGCCCTTTGTATTGGTGGACAGGTTTGTTCCCTCGGGGAAGATTAGAAGCCACATTGGATCAAACTGTGGGCGGGCTGAGTTAGATCCAGTGAGGCGTGTCTTCAACTTTTCCAAACGATGCTGAAGCCTTGGTTTGTCAGACTGCCACTTGCGAGCCATGAAGATGAAACCGTAGAACATCATGCCCGTGCCCACGATGGGAATATACTTTAGCGACTCCTTTAAAATGATGAAGATGCGGCCGTGCATCGTGTTTGTATATGCAACCCACCAAAGGTAGATCCAGTCGGTATAGACCTGGTGGTTCGAGATCATGACTAGGCGTTCTGGGAAACATGTCTCTAGCAGTCCATCTTTCGAGAGATGAATTTGACCACGGACACTGGCATCACCACTGACCCGGAAGAGCGTTGGAGAGGCCCATTGAGTAGCAGCCGTGATGACCAGCCCAAAGCATTGTTTTGTGTATGCCATATATGAGTAGTACCAATATTTGTTGATGAAATATAGCGGCGAGCCGATCACCTGTGTCGCGCAGATGGCCACACAACAACAGTTGAACCATGTTGCCAGCAACAGGGAGCGCAGGACCTGCATGGGAACGCCATGCTTGAGACGGGGCTCCGAGGGCGGTTTGGTGGAAAGTCTTTGAAGCTCGTTGGTATCTGTGACTGGGTGGCGCTGTTGACTCTCGGCTGATTCCATGGTAGAGAGATCTGGGATCTGGAGATCCGGAGATCCTTGAAGCTGGAGGAGTCAGATCAGAGCTTCTGAGAGCTGAGGTTTCCGATGCGAGGGAAGCTCGGAGCCCACGCGATATGAAGGGGTCAGATGTGGATATAGGGACGACCAACGCGTCAGATAAAGACTAGAGACTAGAAATTAGAGGACAAAATGATCAATGACCGGAAGGCCGGGAGTGAGAATACAATGTGGGCTCGGACTTAGTAGATCAGGACCCGTGACGACCCAACCCTCGCAACGTCACTCCCAAGGCGGTCAACTATTTACTCCGCCTAGCTCTCCATAGCTCTCTCTCCCCAGTGTTGGATCCTTTGCTTTACCAAACTTACACTTGCATCCCATCTGGACAGTCGGGCTGAAAGATGGCGCATTGATGTGAGCGCCAATAAACCCAACTCGAGGTCTTCTGGCTGATACGCATGACTTGGGTAGGCCTACCTTCTTTACAATGCAGCGCATCTTCCGCACTTCTTTTCGCTGCTTCTCCACATCCATTCCGCGTCACGAGATCAAAGACGTTGGCGCTTTATCTCAGCGCCTGATACCAAAATACCAAGGTGTGGGTCTTTTAGGGTGACCTGAATGGTCATCTTCTTGATGCGAGGCTGATTCTCTTAGAATCTTGTGATGGGGAGCTCCTATCTCTTCAGTGGCCGGCACCGCCACGCAACATCTTCCTGGTGCGCAAGGATTGCGCCCCAGCTGTGACCGATTCTTTGATTGAATTCGTCAAGTAAGTCATAGCTTCCTTGAGTGATTGCATAGGCTCATTTTCTCAGTCATATTTCCTCCGCATACCCATCCATCCGAGTTATTCTCGAGTCGAAGACCGCCGCCGAAGTACATTCGTCACTCTCTTTTCCAGTCTATTCAGCCTGCCTCGACGAGAATCCAACCGCATTACATGAGAAAGTTGACCTTACGGTTACTTTAGGCGGGGATGGCACTATATTACATGCCTCCTCGCTTTTCGCAACCTGCTCAAATGTGCCGCCCGTCTTGTCGTTTAGCATGGGCACACTAGGCTTTCTGAGTGAATGGAAATTCTCAGAATTCAAAAGAGCCTTCCGAGAGGTCTACATGTCTGGGGCTGGGGCAGGAGACCGCACCCCTGCGCTTGAGAAGTCCACAGGAACGGAGTTGTCAGGGCATGAATCCGAGATGGGCCCAACTGGATGGTCCTCTGTTCGGGGCAAATCTATGGGCTCAACACGCGGGGCACGCATTCTTATGCGCAATCGGTTGAAAGTTGGGCTCTTTACCGCCGACGGCGCCGAGACTACCCCAATCCGGACCAAAACAGACCAGGGTCAGGGGGTTTATGTGATGAACGAGCTCCTCATCCACCGTGGCAAGGAACCACACTTGGCAGTGGTGGATGTGTTTGTTGGTGGGCGCTTCCTGACCGAAGCAGTGGCTGATGGCATTATCATCTCCACCCCGACCGGGAGTACTGCATACAGCCTCAGCAGTGGGGGGAGCATTGTGCATCCGCTAGTCCCAGCCATTCTCTTGACGCCGATCTGCGCTCGTAGCCTCAGCTTCCGTCCATTGGTCCTCCCCTCCAGCACGCCGATCACACTGCGACTCAGCGAGAAGAACCGCGGGCGCGAACTTGAAGTCAGTCTGGACGGGGTCAATCTGGGCCAAGGGATGGCAGTTGGCATGGAAGTTCGAGTTTGGAATGAGGAGATGCGTCATGGCGAGAATGAATGGCAGGGTGGTGTACCCAGCGTTATGCGGAGAAGTGTGGGCTGTGAGGCCCACGAAGGGTGGGTTGGAGGGCTGAATGGATTATTGAAGTTCAACCATCCCTTTGGAGAGCTATAAACACAATAAGACAATAATTGTAGCATATGCGATCACTATGAAAAATATCAACATTCATCTCCCATGTTCCTGTTCCGTGAATCTCTCCCGTGATTGGCAGAGGCTTGTTTTCTGTAGATGAACGTCTCCATCTCAGGGGACCCCTTTCACCTTCTTCCCCCCACCAACTTCACCTTTCTCTTTCGCTTTGATCACTGCGTTTCGTTGAGCATCCTCGCAGTGCGAGGACGGCTCCGGATTATTTCTCTGGTATGATCCTTGTCTTTCTACCCCTCCCATTGCAATGCACTCGATGCCTTGTTTGTATATGCATCAGACCAAAGCTGGGCCTGTGCCTGTTCCTGTACCTGTGAAACAATCCCCTGGACTAACTGTGTACTAGTCCTGACCTCAGGAGGTCTCGGCGCATTCGTTCCCCCTTGAATCATGACTTCGTATGGAAAGTCGGTCACTCCATTTCTCTACTCTAGACATGCCACTCACAATGCATAGCAACATGTACACTCCGGATCAGTTCATGAATCCGGGGCCCGCTCCCCGTCCCCCGACCGATCGTCCTCCCAAGTTGACTCTGCCGACCAACAATACCACTGCTTCTTTTGGCCAGATGACCCTGGACTCGCCAAGTACACCGGGGCCGGGGTCGGCCAATCTTTCGCTGTTCCCCAATACCAGTAGCCCGTCTCTCGCTATGAGTCGGAGCAATACCCAAAGTGGAATCACTATTATCAAGGAGGGCCACGTGCGCTGCAAAGAAGACAAGTTCTTGGCCACATGGAACTCGCGATACTTGATCTTGCGCGAGTACAAACTCGAATTCTTGAAGAATGACTCGAGCAAGGTCGTAATCTCCTTCCCACTTTCATCTGTTACCGCAGTGGCTCGTTCGGAGGAGTCTAAGATGGCTTTCGAGGTCACTCGTCTGGCCAACCCGAAGGATGCCTCGTCGAAATCTGCCCTCCTTACTCGCGACCTGCCGACCAAAACCATCACTTGTGAAGTCAAGTCGGACGATGAAATCTACGAATGGATCGACAAGATCTACGAGCGATGCCCTGGTATGGGTGGAGTCAGCAACCCGACCAACTTCAGTCACCGTGTTCATGTCGGATTCGACCCCAAGACTGGTGCCTTTGTAGGCTTGCCTCCAGAGTGGGAGAAGCTTCTGACAGCCTCGGCCATTACAAAGGAGGATTACAAGAAGAACCCACAGGCCGTCATCGAGGTCCTCGAATTCTACTCAGATATTAAGATGCGTGAGCAGAACCCGCAATATTACGCTGGTATGAACACACCCTCCGGCAATGGATCCAAGCCATACGGCAGCAGTGTCGGAAATTCTATCGCGCCCCCACGACCTCCCCCACCAGGGCCTATGCAGCGTCTGGATAGCGGCCAGTCGAAGCAATCTGACGGTTCTATGCGCTCGGCTTCCTCCCCATCGCAAGGCAGAGAGTCTGAGCGTGCCGCCGAACAGCAGAAACAAGCCGATCACCTCAAGGAGCTGGCTGAGCAGGAGCGTCGCCGATTGGAGGATATCCGTCGCAAGGAGGAACAAGATGCCTACAACCAATCCATCCCCCAAACCCGCACACCTATGGCCAAACAGGAGCTCGGTGGCTATGGCGGAGAAGATCCATCCACAAACAGCCGCTACCAGCCAAGTCGCCCAGCCCCTCAGGCTCCAGGAGCTGGTGCTCGTCCCCAGCAAGACCCACGACAGCTGACTGCACAGCGACCCGCACCGGCGCCACCCTCGCAGAGTCCTTATGGCCAAGGCGCTCCACGAGCCCCTGGGGCTCCCAGAACCGAAGATCGTCAGGGCTCTCCAAGCTCGCGCTATCCTCCCAACGATGCTCGCGCCCCCGGCTCCGCAAACCGTCCTCAGCAGAATGGCTCAAAGGGCCAACAGGCCCAAGGACCGCCTCCAACACGTCTGCCCGCCCCTGTTCAGGCTGTGAAGCCTCTGAACATTGCCAACAAGCAAAACGGAAACAAGCAGAACGTCCCCGATGGCGTTCGCCAGGCCGAAGCTGCCTTGACCAAGAAGCCGGAGCCGCGCCAGAAGGAGGTGCGCATGTCCGCCATGTCCGAGAACGAGGTTATGGATCGCCTTCGGTCTGTCGTTTCCAAGGACAACCCCAACGATTCATACAGCAAGCAACGCAAGATTGGTCAGGGCGCCTCTGGATCCGTGTATGTGGCACGTGTTAAGGAGGGTGCCACCTCGAGCGTTGCTCACGAGCTTTACCGCACGTACGGTCCCCGATGCCAGGTTGCTATCAAGCAGATGGATTTGCGTAGCCAGCCCCGTAAGGAGTTGATCGTCAACGAGATCATTGTCATGAAGGACAGCCAGCATGCCAACATTGTCAACTTCCTCGATTCGTTCTTGCAGGAATCGAGCAATGAGCTCTGGGTTGTTATGGAGTTCATGGAGGGTGGTGCTTTGACCGATGTGATTGACAATAACCAGGTCATTTCGGAACACCAAATCGCGACCATTTGTGCCGAGGTAAGTCGGATATGATAGCTGTTTTACTCGCAATTACTGACCTTTTCTCGCAAAGACCTGTAAGGGATTGGCTCATCTACACAGCCAGAACATCATCCACCGTGATATCAAGAGTGACAACGTCCTTCTCGACCGCGTCGGCCACGTCAAGATCACTGATTTCGGTTTCTGCGCCAAGCTGACCGAGTCCAAGAGCAAGCGTGCCACCATGGTTGGTACTCCTTACTGGATGGCTCCCGAGGTAGTCAAGCAAAAGGAGTACGGCCCCAAGGTCGACTGTTGGTCACTGGGAATCATGGCCATCGAAATGATTGAATCTGAACCTCCGTACCTGAACGAAGAGCCCCTCAAGGCCCTCTACCTCATCGCAACCAACGGAACCCCGCGTCTCAAGAAGCCCGAGAAGCTCAGCAAGGAACTCAAGGCCTTCCTGAGCGTCTGTCTCTGCGTCGATGTCCGCAGCCGCGCCACGGCTGACGAGCTCTTGGCTCACGAGTTCCTGCAGATGGGCTGCAGCTTGGCTAGCTTGGCGGAGCTGCTCCGCTGGAAGAAGGCTAATGGCCAGTAATTCATTTACCGCAACCCGGAGCACATATGGGTCCCATTTACGCGCGCCTTCGTTTAGATATTCACGTTCATGTTCCTTCACGATCTCAACAGGAACAACGGTATCGGTCTCTTTCCTGTTTTTCCTCTCCTCGTGTTTTGTGCTTGTTTCTCTCCAATTCCCTTGGAGACGCTCTGCTACTTTCATACACAACCCTGGGCGATAATCCACGGCGTTTGATCTGTTTTCAATTTTCATTTTCCCTCTTGTTTTTGCTGATGTTTCTGTTTTCGATCCCTGCACAAAAGACATACCATGTTTACCCCCATGACGTTCACGATCCTGCACTTGCACTGTATTTTGTGCGCTGCTCTCGCAGACACGGAATTAGTCCGTTTTTTTTCTTGTCTCTTAAGGAATTAAAAGCTCTTATTCGTAATAGGAGGTTTTTGAGGCAACAAAATTTGAGTTTCATTTCATACATTCTCCCTCCAAGTACCAAAAAGTATGCCCTAGAGCACAAGCATATCAACCCATAGCAACCTCGTGAATGGTCGAGGTGCAGGCACTAATTCAACCATACATGCGCGTAGCTACAACAGGAGTCATAAATGGATACACAGTGCCATGAAGTATTGGACAGTCTCCACACGGAAGCCTCGAAGCGAGTATACCATTTCATGCATTTCTTTCGCCCTACTTTGGCCTCTTTTAAACCTTTTTTGGCTCATTTTCGAATGCCTCGGGTTAATCATAAGATTATATGAAGGTGCGGGTGTGAAAGGGGTATTGGCCCAATAAATGCTCTCATAAATGAACCACACCCCAACTCCATGATCAGACTGACTATAAATCCAATATGTCATTCAAACGTGAAGTAATCCAATATGTAAACCAAGAGATACAAACCCAAGGAGCGTACCATCCAGTCATTCAACAACAGAATACAGCAATCCCACCCAGCCCTAAATTGAACCACATTATCCTCTTCAACCAATATCAAAATCAAGGCAATTCAGTCCTAACAGCACCATCCAATACCCGGCAAGCCGTCCCAAACAAAACGCCTAGAAGAACACTCTCACCCTCAGCAGCGGTCCACCGTCCGGCATCAACAAGTCTCTGCTTCCAGATATTTCGATCATCATCGGACAGATCGGTCCAAGCGCGCAACTTCTCCTCATCGGAGATGCCATTATGACGTGCCGACACAGCCGTTTCAACGAAGATGCTCTCTTCAGCGCCGTGGCCTGCTTCGTTGCACCGGACGATCACTGAAAGTGCGTGTGGCGTGGCAGTTTCCAGGTCTGCAGGTGCAGCTCCGGCGTTGTGGACGCGGTCGAGGATTGAGCGGAGGGATTCAAGTTGCTCTGTTGAGTCCGGGTGCGTTTGGACGATGGGGACATCCGTGGTACCCTTTGAGCGTGGCGCAAGCAGGGTATCGAGGTATGTCAGACGATCCTGTGGAGGCGGGACGTATTGACCAGCGATGATATCGCGGAGACCGACTGGAAGCCACTCGGCGGCGCCTAAGAAGGGAGGTGTGCCGCCGCGGATTTCGGCGAATGCCAGCATTGCGAAGCAGATGGCTAAGATGGAGAAGAGGAGGATGAGGATGCTGTAGATGAGTTCCCAGATCTCTGCCGGGCCGGGCATGACCAGGACGTAGCGGGGAGTACGGGAGGAGGTTGGGAATGGGGAGAGGGGGAATGTATGCACGACAACTGTGTTGCCCATGCTGACGGAGGCGAGCTTCACGTTCTGGGGCCCGACTTCTGGGCCTATGGGGTGTGACGGTGCGGTGAAGGTTGAGAAAGTGAGTTTTGTCATTGAGAAGGGGTGTACATCGCGGATGATTGAGTAGGGGCGGAAGTTGCTGTATCCGCGCTTTGGCCCATATTCCAGTGTGAATAGAGCAATGGAGTTGTCACTGCCACTGACTGCGATGATGGTCTGTTGCTGGCCTTGAGGATTGGTTCCCAGCTGGCATATATCCAGACCCAGACCGATCTTCACGGTTCGAGGAAGCTTGCGGCGTCGTAGGATTTGTGACTTGCTCTGGTTGGCTGTTGGGAGTTGAAGAAGGATGAGCTCGCTGCCACCACGGTCTGGAGCGTTTTGCAGGAGGAGGAGGGATCGAGGAGAGAGGAAGCGCAGCGCGCGGATCTTGGGGCGTGCCGTGCGAGCTCCACTGGCTGGTAGAGGGATGGTGTACATGCAGCGGACCTCGGGGGAGCTACTGGAGCTGTTGGACGAGGAAATCTCGCCAACCATGACATCCACTCCATTTGTATAAGCCACAAGGAACCGGCCGTGGGCGTCTTCGGTCTGTTCGGGGTCGTGTTCGAGACTGGCAAAGTCGAGATCCTCGGCCTCTTCATTGCCGCTTAATTGGATACGGCCAATGATATCCGTCTCGCTCGGAGTTTCGGTGGCGCGGAAGAACACGATTTCACCAGATGTTGCCAGACCCGTTGCAATAGCTCCAATTCGTGTGTGCTGCTCCTTATCCTTCCCCTTCGGCCACGGCGAGAGTCTGATCACGCGCTGGTACGTATCGGAGGAGCCTGGCCCGTTCTTCGTGCGGAAGAGTGACGCTTGCGACAGAGCTGTTGCTCTTCCGGGTGTCACCTCTTCCTCAGGTTTGTCGTCCTTGTCGTCCTTTGTTTTGTTTTCGTCGTTCGACTGCTCCGTATCCTGTGGAGCAGCCACAGCCCGATTCTTTCGCGGCGCCTCAAAACGGAACGCGCGCATGTGCTGGTTGTTGTTCTTCTTCTGCTCTGACACAGAGCTATTGATTCCAGCCAAAGCAACAAGCGAGCCCGCCACATCACCACCCAGCGGCGCGGCAGCCAGCGACGTCACTGAATCTTCATCACGCGATAGGCTCAGCTCAACGGCCTCGGTGATCTCATTGCGACGCGAGGTGTCAAGAAGAAACTATAGAGGATACCACAATTAGCATTGGCATACAGAGACGGCTATTCTTCTCTTCAAGGTGGGACTTGCGATCTTGTTTCCGACTCCGCTGCGCCCCTCGCCGCCTCCGCCGCCGACGAGCAGTAGACCGTTGTTGCGCGGGTCGAAGTCGGCGGCGAAGAGCGGACACGAGAGTGTCAACTTGGCGGAGTGTATTGTGGGCGCCATTGTTGGTTCTCTTGGAGAGTCGGAGAATGGAAAGAGGACAGATGGATGACGGAGGTGCAGTGCCCCAGATTCTTGGCGCGGTGGCCGGATCGAACATTCTTATTTAGCGTATAGATTGAGTTATATCCATCCATCTATAGACACAGTTCTACTTTAAAATTGAAAGATGATCAAATAAATAAAAATAGAAATAGCGTTTTATGTACTTCTAGCACTCTATTCGATCTCTTGGGATGTGAACTCAGGCAGGCGCTTGCGGATATCCTCCCAGGTCTCGTCGCCATCGACAAGTGACTTGATGGCCTGAAGAATATCGTCCTCGCTAGCGCGGACCTGCTTGGTGGTATCGCGATCACGGAGAGTGAAGGTGCCATCCTGAACGGACTGGAAGTCGACAGTGACACCGAAGGGTGTGCCCAGCTCGTCGTTGCGGGAGTAACGCTTACCAATACTGGCAGAGGAGTCGTCAACACGGTTGGAGATACCCAGCTTACGCAGCTTGTTGGTCAGACGCAGGGTCAGGGGCTTGAAGGAGGCGTGGGTAGAGAGGGGAACCAGCAGGACCTTAGTAGGGGCGACAGCAGGGGGGAATGAAAGGACCTGCAATAGTTAGTATAAACATGATATGAAAAGTGACATATGAAATTCTTTCATGACTTACACCGCGGGACTCATCGCCGGCTCGGGACCAGTAAGAGTGCTCGATCATGCTGTACAAGATACGGCCAATACCGAACGAAGGCTCGATAACGTTGGGGGTGTACTCGCGGACGTTCTCAACGCGGGTACGCTTCTCGATCTTGATGAGGTCCTTCTCCAGCTCAACCTTGCCGGATCCGACACCCTCAACATCGACCTCAATCTTGCCGTTCTTCTCGAGGTCCAGGGACAGCTTCTCGCGCAGTTCCTGGGACAGAGCATCGATGGCAGTCTCAACAGTCTTAGCATCCTTCTTAAAGCGGGGACCGAACTTCTTCTTCTCGAGGTCGATCTGGTACTCCTCAATGCGCAGAGGCTCAGCACGGCTCTGGCGCACGACGAGAGGGGCTCCAGTCTTGTTCTTGTGAACAGTCAGATCATAAGCACTGCGGTCAGCACAGCCGACACACTCAATCCATCCGTAGCTGGTCTGCAACTCGGCATCCCAGCAGTCGGTGGCGTAGTGAGCCATCTCGTTGGCCATGTGCTGGCGGAAGCGCAGCTTAGTGGGGTCGACACCAAGCTTCATCAGGAAGGACTGGATACGGGCCAAGAAGTAACCCAGGGTCTCGTTGTCGACCAGGCCAGTCTCAACGGCCTTGCCGATGGTCATCTTGGTCAGCTGGGTGCTGCCGGAAAGCTGCACGTTGCGGTCGAGTAGGGTCATCTCAACGTCCTTGACCTCCTCGAAGCGGTGGTGCTTCTTGCCACCCTCGGGGTCGACGTAGTGCTCAATCTCGGCCATCAGGAACTCACGCACACGCAGGAGACCGGCACGAGGGGAGATCTCGTTACGGAACGACTTGCCAATGGAAGCAGAGGCGAAGGGCATGGACTGCTGGTTGAACTCCAACAGCTTTGCAAAGTTCAAGAACTGACCCTGAGCGGTCTCGGGGCGCAGGTAACCGGGCATATTGCTGCTAGGACCAATAGAGGTCTGGAACATGAGGTTGAAGGAGACGGGAGGGAGAACCTCGCCGCCGGTAACGGGGTTGCGGATATCGTGCTTCTTGATGAGCTCCTCCAACTCAGGGCCACCGTAGTTGTCAATCTGCGCGAGAGTCTCCTCGTACTCCTTGACAAGGGCATCGTCCAACTTCTTGGCCTCGGTGCCCTTGGCCTTTCTCTTCTTCTTGGCCTCCTTCTCCTCGTCCACGACAACCTTCTGACCACGCGCCTCCTTGTCACCCTTGAGGCGGTTCTCCAACACCTCCTCAACCAAGTGGTCGGCACGGAAAATCTCGCCAGTCTTGGGGTCCTTGCACATCCAGTCGGCGAACTTGTCCACGTGCCCACTGGTCTTGAGAATCTCGTGGGGGGTCAACATGGTGGTGTCGACCTCGAGCATGTCCTCCTCGAGCACGAAGTGCTTGCGCCACAAGTCGGTCATGTTGGCGATCAGGGCGGTTCCTGGTGGACCATAATCGTACAGACCAGACACTCCACCATAAATTTCGAAGGAGGGGGTGTAGAACATGCGGCGACGGAGCATGGAGTCCAGGACCGTCCGGTCAACGGACTGGCCCGTCTTGGTGTTGACAGTGGCCATCTTGGGGGTTCGTTTCGACTTCGGGGGAGAGGTGAAAGTCCTAATTTGAGAACGAAGGAGGGACGGAGGGGAAAGAAAAGAGCGGGGGGGAAATCGCAGGCGCGGCAATTGAGTCATCCACCATGCAGTCCCTCACCACCGAGAGGACAATGAACAGAGAATGAAGAAGGGAGAGACGGAGCAATTGGCTATGAGCTTTTCCTTTTTATCTATTTTCCTAGGGAGATCTCCCGCTGCTAAGGCAGTAAATGGCTGAATCGCAGATTGTCGCTCCGGCGAAACGATTGTCCGAGATAATTTATTTCTCAACGATCTTGACATTTTTTTTACTGACCTTCTACAGCAGCACTCCACACTCGGCAGCTTGCAATTATGGGTCTCAAAGGTCAAGGGAAACCGCCTCCAGGCGTCATGGGCGATGAGAAAACCGGCAACAAGCTCCGGCGCAAGATGAACCATGTCAAGCGCAAGCGTGCTAAGGATGCTGCGCGCCGAGAAGAGCGCTATGCTTTCAAGAAGGAAGAAGCCAAGAACCCCAAGCTCAAGGAGGAGCGTCTGAAGCGCAACATTCCTCTGACCCTCGAACGAAAGCGTATCTGGAACGAAGCCGACAACGACACCGAGGAAACTGGCCTGGGATTAAGCGTTGACGTTGAGCGCATCAAGCGCGCCAAGAAGGAAGAAGAAGACGAACTCAACCGGCCATTTGAAGAGGGTGAGGATGACAGCGAGGCTCCCGAATCAGACAACGAGTCCGTGGACAGTATGCTTGCATCAGACGACGAAGGCGAGGAGGAAGAAAAGGACGGCGAAGAAGAAGAGAGCCGCGGCCGCAAGAAGACCTCGCTCCCAACGGCCACAGAGCGTGCCACAGAGCCTACCCAGTCCACACGCAGCACAAACCTGAGCCTTGCCCCTGAAGCATTGGCCGCCAAATTCCCTACGCTTTTCACCTCGGGCCCGCCGCCCACTCCCAAAATCCTTATCACCACCGCTATCAACTCCAATCTCCACAACGAAGCCGAGATCCTGACTGATCTCTTCCCGAACAGCGTGTACATTCGTCGCACAGCGCACAGATACTCGCACAAGTTCTCGATCCGCGAGATCTCCAAATTTGCCACAAACCGCAACTTCACAACGGTGGTCGTGTTGCAAGAAGACCAGAAGAAGCCTAGTGGACTGACAATGGTACACCTGCCAGTGGGCCCGACCTTCCACTTCACCATCAGCAACTGGGTCGAGGGAAAGCGACTCCCTGGTCACGGTCGAGCCACCGAGCATTGGCCTGAGCTGATCCTCAACAATTTCCGCACTCCTCTTGGTCTCCTCACAGCGCATTTGTTCCGCACTCTTTTCCCGCCTCAGCCAGAGTTCGAGGGAAGACAGGTTGTCACTTTGCACAACCAGCGTGATTACATCTTCGTCCGTCGTCATCGCTACGTCTTCCGTGAAAAGCGTGAGACTGAGAAGGCTGTTGTTGGTGCTGATGGTAAGGAGATGGAGGGTGCCGAGGGTATCCGTACAGGTCTGCAGGAACTGGGTCCCCGGTTCACCTTGAAGCTGCGCCGTGTTGACAAGGGCATCCAGCGTGCCAGTGGACAGGAGTGGGAGTGGAAGGGCGGAATGGAGAAGCAGAGAACTCTGTTCCAGCTGTAAATCTTGTTTCTTTATGTCATTTCAGGTTTTGCATGGGGTTCGGAGAGGAGTTATATCCAAAAGCTGTCTTTCTTTCATGAACAAATATACTTTTATGGGGTCACATCGAAGGTTGTCCCAAGGGTGCATAATTCAAGCTATTAGACTCATTGCTACTTCTGCCATTCTTAATCAAGCCCAACTAGTACTCTCCGAACGCTCAATCGCCCTCTTAGTCGCCTCATCAAGATCCTCTTCTGGCAACCCAAGCACACTATTAAGTGTCCCCTTACCACTGAAATCGCCAGACCCATCATCATAAAAGACCCTCGTATAAAGCATCTTAACAAACCCAACAAGATCACCCTTCTGCATAGCCTCCACACCACCCTCATACCTTTCCTTAGCCGATTCCTTGGTAATATTCCAATCCGCCTCCGTCGTACCGGTAACTCTGTAAACAGAGTCCAGCATATCCCGCTGGCTAACAGTAAAGGAATCAACATAAACGGCCTGATCTTTCAACTTCTGAAGACAAGACCCTTCAGCTGTTATAGGCAGACTGAGGAGATTGGCAACAGCCCGACCAACCTGTGGCCATGTCGAGGTTGAGATCTTGACATTTCCTTCGTCAAAGAGTGTGGCTGATCGGTTGGCAAAGTCTACACCGAAGGCTGGTGCTATTGCCAGGCTCCATTCGTACCAGAATCCGGTATTTACGGCTATGTACGAGCTTTTGCCGAGATCTGTGATTGCTTTGCGGATTTCTCCTATATAGGTGGACTTGTTAGTGGGAATCATGCATCACCAGATGTAAACTTCTTACCCTTTGGTTGGAAGATTACCACGTCCTTGACTAGATCTTCATTTGCTGTGTCTGGACCCCATTCATTCGGTAGAATCCAGGGAACACCAGCCTCGCCGGCTGCGTTGATGAGCTGTAGATTGATTTCATTGGGTGCTCTACTACCTAGAGTGATGACAAGCGCATGTTGACCCTTGAGTGCCTCGACGATGGTCTCTGGCTTGCTGTAGTCGATTGTCTTTTCGATCACTCCTTCCGGTAGCTTGCTCTGGCTGCCAGCTCGTGCTAGGGCTGTGACAGTGTGTTTTCCTGTGCGGAGGAGGGCTTCGGTCATGAAGCGGCCGCTATTACCGCCAGCCTAAGGAGGTTGTTAGTTGGTGTTTTGTAGATAATGGATGATGTCACGCACTCCGACAATGGCAACGTTGGTGATATGGTTTGAGGCCATTTTGTATACTGTTCAGATAGTTGGATTAATCATTTAGTGAAACAGGCGTACTTTATATTCCAATCAAATGATATTAAGTGGTCAAATGGAATTAAGAGGTCAAATGGAATTAAGAGGTCAAAAGGCCGAGGCGTATAGATCTCGGAGGTTATGGAAGCCGAGCCCTCAACGGAGATACGAAAAACTAAAATCCGTGGACCAGTTCTGTCTTGGAGAAAATGTTTGTGTTTGGCAGAATTTCTATTGTACAATTAATGAGGTGAGGGTATTGCATTGGACATGTGTATCTGGGAACTAAACTTATACCTAGGATTGTACATTCCAAATCTACATTTTGCAAGTCTCTACTCCGTATAACTCGAGCATTCCTCGCTCTCCGAGCACAAAACCTCCAGTTAGTCGAGAATGTATAAATGTCTGCCATATGGAGCACCTAAGAGAATGTGATTGAGCAAACAATCCGATGAGTAAGGTGTAAAAAGTACTATAAGTGGATAGAACAGATTTTCAAAGGATCTAGACTTACTGTTTACCTACAAGTAGATCTCTAGATCTTGTAGAAGGGTTACCCCGAGATCATCCGGCGCTATTTGCAAGGAAACACACTAGCAAGACATGCTAATTATGCGGCTCTTTGTTCGCTTATCAGGTCTTCCCCGCTCTGGTCTGCACTAGACGTACATGTATACATGAAGTTTAAGTTAGTATTTGTCGGCCAAAAGACCACTTGGCTCTACCAAGATATTGAGAATTTACTAATATCAATGAGTACTCGATGAGAAGTCAATTATACACCATTGCGCGTTCTATCGAACTCTTACTAAGCCAGTGTCCCGCTTAGGTATACGTGACGTTGATACTCCGTACACTTGCCTGCTTGGTCGGGATTTGCACACTCGGGATTTGCACACTCGGGATTTGCACAGAAGGGTTCGTACTCGTCCTCGCATTCGGGGTTTCTCGGGGTATTCAGATTGGATCGAGCATCGGGATGAGGTGAGAACTTAGGGCTATGTACTAATGCAAGAAGCCGAATTGCCACTTCATCCATGGATGTCGCCAAGAAAGGAACTCCAGTATGACCCTATTGGCAATAGATATCAAATACCGTGAGAACCCACTGACTGTACACGTACCTACCCATGTACATGTACACGCAGTAGCTCTCTATAGTTCCTGTAGCATGAGCCGGTGTGACAGGGATCAAGGTGTTCATGCACGCTAGGGCTGAACTACCCTGTCGATCTACCTATTCGGGCCAAGGACAATAGTTTACGTCCTGCATCTGCTTGCTAGTCTATCTGATCTGTTCGTCGAACTAACAAAGAACAGAGAAAAAATAGTAGACTAACCAAGCAATGCCGAAGGGCCAAGACATTGGCTATAAGTACGGCCTGCTGCCACTACTAGCTCAAATCAACACTCACACAAGTTATATTGAAGATTATACAAAGAAACATCCACATCCACCATGTCAACAGTATCAGTTCCCGAACAAACCGAAACCCCCGAATTCGGCTTCAACGCCAAACAAGGCGTAAACTGGTCAGACTACGTGACCTTCCGACCAATCTACCCACCCTCATTCTTCAATCGAATCTTCACCTACCACTTCAACTCCCACCCCGAAACCAATTGGACAACAGCCCACGACGTCGGCGCGGGCTGCGGAATAGCAGCCTCAAGCCTAGCAACCCGCTTCGACAAAGTAATAGTCTCGGACCCAAACGAAGGCTACACAAAACTGGCGCACAAAGTGCTAGTCACCGAATCGGGACACCCGGAATCCAAATTCCGCTTCTTACAAGAAAGCGCAGAGAAATGCAGCGTGGAATCTGGAAGCGTGGATCTGATCACTGTATGCGAATGTATCCATTGGATGCGACCAGAGGTCGCGATAGCCGAGTTCGCAAGACAGCTTCGTGTTGGCGGGACATTGGTTATTACGCATTATAACCACCCCCGGATTGAAGGCAATGAACGGGCTCAACGGGCTTGGGATGCTATTCGGGATGTTTACGTTGGTGCTGTGAGCAATCCTATGTTTGAGCATGCGTTGCGGATAATGAATTCTGGATTTGAGTGTCTTGGTTTCCCTGTTGAGGCATG